TTAATATAGCTTTGATTACCTTGGTTTATGAAATTGAGATGATGTACTATTTTAGAAATTTAAAAACGGAATCTTTTTTAGTCTTTTAGTTGGTGCGTTACAATAAAATATCTTGAACCTTTAACATGTGATTTTTTACAACATGCTTAGCTGATTGCCAATTTGATGAGGCAAATTTCCCATCATTAGGGGGAGAAATGAAGATTATAGAAAAGGATGCTTCATGGCATGATCCTTCTTTATCATATCTTGAACCTCGTATAAAGCAATATGAAATGGAAGTTCACAAGATAATGCATTTCTAAGAAATGGCAAATCAATTGCCTAATACATTTACTGACATGAAAATTGTGACTAAATCATATATACCAGTTGGCAATGTTCTAGCTCGAACTGAAATTTCATATGGACAATCTGATGATAAAGTCACTCTAAAGTCTAAAACACGCCTGAAGCGTGGAAGACCATTTGGTTCTAAGGATAAGAACCCACGAAAAAGAAGAGGAGTAGAAATGCACTAGATCATGAGGAAGGTGTTCCCGGAGAAACACGAAACATCATAATTCCCCCAGGAAAGGAAGATGTTGCACTAAGTTATCATCAAACAAATAGAATATGTGACCAAAATGAAACTGATAATATTAGTGCAATATTTTCTTATTCAGTTGCATCTAATATTATGAATGATGATCCCGAACCACAATCTGTCATTGAATGTCAAAGAACAAATTATTGGGCTACATGGAAGGAGGCTATGCAAGTTGAATTAAATTCTCTTAACAAGAGAAAGGCTTTTGGGGCTATTATCCTCAAACCTGGAGTTGTGAAATCATTAGGGTATAGATGGATCTTCGTACGAAAAAGAAATAAGAAAGACGAAATTGTAAGATACAAGGCTAGGCTTGTGGCTCAAGGTATCTCTCAAAGACCTTGAATTGATTATGAGAAAACTTATTCATCGATAATGGATGCAAGAACTTTTTTAATCAGCGTGGTAGTCTCTAAAAATTTAGAGATGTGCCTTATGGATGTTGTTACAACTTACTTGTATGGGTCACTTTATAGTGATATCTATATGAAAATCCCTAAAGGATTTAAAATGCCTGAAGCATTACATGTAAAACCCAAAGAAATGTATTCTATAAAATTGCAAAGATCTTTGTATGTGTTATATCAATCTGGACGCATGTGGTACAATCATTTAAGCGATTATTTGAAAAGTAAAGGTTATAAAAATAACATTATTTGTCCATGCGTATTTATTAAGAAAACAACATTTGAGTATGTGATTATAACGGTCTACGTTGACGATTTAAACATCATTGGAACGAATAAAGAAATACTATAAGTGCTTGAACTTTTAAAGAAATAATTTGAAATGAAAGATCTTGGTACAACCAAATATTGTCTTGGTTTGCAGATTGAGCATATGCCTAACGGAATACTTGTACATCAATCAAATTATACAGAAAAAGTCTTGAAACGTTTCAATATGGCCAATACCAATCCTTTAAGCACCCCAATAGTTGTTAGATCATTAAATATTAACAAAGATCCATACCGTCATCAGGAAGAAAATGAAGAAGTTCTTGGTCCAAATGTATCATATCTAAATGCAATTTGGGCTCTTATGTATCTTACCAATTGTACTAGACCTGACATTTCTTCCATTGTAAACTTGATAGCAAGGTTTAGTTCATCCCCAACAAAAAAATGGAATGAGATTAAGCATATTTTGCAATATCTTCGAGGAACTACTAATTTAGGGTTATTTCATCCTAATGATTCAAAACAAGGTTTGATTGGTTATGCAGATGCATGCTATTTATCTGATCCTTATAAAGCTAGATCTCAAACTGGATACGTATTCATGAATAGATGCACCACAATTTCCCTGGGGCTCTTAAAAGCAAACACTTGTCGCCACGTCATCAAATCATGCCGAAGTAGTTGTACTAAATCAAGCAAGTAGAGAATGCACATGGACTAGATAAGATAAAGGTCAAACTTTAATTTATAAAGATAACCTAGCATGTATCACTCAAATGAAAGAAAGATATACCAAGAGCGACATGACAAAACACATACGTCCAAAGTTTTTTGAGCATATTCAAGAGCTTATAAAAGATCAAAAGGTTGAGATAAAATATGTTCAATTTAGCAACAATGTAGCAGACCTCTTCATGAAAGCACTTCCTACTGCAATCTTCAGAAAACATGTACATGGCATCAGAATACGACATGTGCATAACATGAAACGTTACATATGTCTAAATGAGGGGGTGTCAACTATATGTTGCACTCTTTTTCCATTCATTAAAGTTTTTTTCCCGTTGGGTTTTCTTTAACAAGGTTTTTCATGAGGCAATACTTCGAGGATGAACTCAAATTTGAAAAAAAAATATCATCCAAGGGGGAGTGTAATAAAAGCCTGGTGGTTGTCGAGGCCATAAAATATATACCCTAAATATTACACACTAAAACAGTGTATAATGGCAAAGGGATTGTATCCACGGAGATTGGTTCAATTTTATAATTCTATGAAAATCTCTTTGTAAAAATACTTGTAAAATAACAATAATAATAAAAATAGGAGTTTTGGTCTCTTTAAAATACTTGAAATAAAACTAGAATTGAACTAAGATTTAAATGGATAATTTCAACAAAAATAAGAGTTTTATGTAAAATCAATAAGAGAAAGATGGTTGATTTAAGGTTTCCTCACTTTGACTTTTTATGAGCATATCATTAGAATCCAATGATGCAATACTTGTTTTAAATCCTTAATTTGGCTATAGTAATTCAAAAAGCGTGAGATTACCTAGACTTTTCTTAGTTGTTAAAAATAGTTACAGACGCTCATAATAATTTCCTTACTTAAAGTCACAATTTCCATTAAGCATGTAATTAGTGAAAGTCAACAAGCATTAAGAACCAAAAAGTCACCAAATCCAAGAGATGTCAAATGCTTTCACTACTATGTTGGAGAAAATGTTTTTATGATTGTGTGAAGCAAAACTAACACAAGAATCATTTGTTGTTTGCTAATTTGAGGATCCTTTACTTAATTAAGAAATTAGACAACTAATCACCACAAACACATTTAAACTCATGAATAAAAACATACAAGTAGTGATAGGTTATTAAAACACAAAACATTCTCATAAAGAGTCAAGAACTAGTTCATGGAGTCTTCAATATTCAATAAAAGTTTAAAGGATTCCACAAAATTCAATCAAGTCCAGTTTAGCCTAGTATCGTAAACTCAAGTAAACAAAGTAAGAAAAGATTGTACCAAACATCCAACAAGATTTAGAGATGAAAAGAAGATGTTCTTCAAGGTTCTTGGCCTTCAAAACCTTTAAAATCTCCAGAGAAAAGGCTCCAAAATTGGATGTGTAAGTCTCCCAAAAGAATCCCACCAAACTTCCTCAAACAGAAGCCAAAAGTAAAATCACGAGTTTTCCCCTGCAGGAACTCATGCGGGCCACGTAATAATTCCACGTAGGTCGCATGAACTTACGGAGAATGGGTCTTCTTTGAGTATTAGGCATCCACAACATAGTCCATTGGCCCAGTTTGAGTCCAATCAGCTTCTAGCCCATTTTTCTTCAAGTTCTCTTCAATTTGAGGCCAATTTGTCTTCTCCAAATCACCCATAACTCTCGTATTCGCCTGATTATTAATTCTCACACGCTTGAAAAATTCTTTGATCTTCATTTAATTAAGAGTCCGTCTTCTTCCATGCTCCATCCATCTAAAGCCCATTTTATGCATCACCTCTAATAGATATTAAGCACAAAAATCTTTATTGTTCTCCAAATCTAATCATTTCCCGAAGATCCCGCTTCGCTAGTCTCCTTAAAATCTACAATTATGCTCACGAAACTCGAAAGTACCTGAAATGGTCATAAAATAACAAAAAGGGAAATATGCATGTAAATTAACTAAATTATGAATGAAATATACTAAAATATACTATAAAAAGAAGTAAGTAAAATGAAACTATCAAAGCCATAAAATTATTGAGTTAGACATAACATGTGGATTCCACATGAACATTTTTCACTCTTGAAATAGTTTCATTTAACTATTTAGTTATTATTTTGATAATGTAAGAATATGATGATATGTAATATAAATACTCATCAAATGTGAAAGAAATAAACAAACCATCTTGAATACAATCTTCTAAGTGTTCAAAAACTCTCTCAAATCTCCTTCTTTTATTTTATAATGTTTTAGTTTAATTTTGTTAGTTTTAATTTTACTTGCATCAAATTTATAACACACACACACACACACACACACACATATATATATATATATATATATATATATATATATATATATATATATAATGTATTCAATACATTAAAACCTCATTAATTTTAATAATTCAAAAAATTTCTTATTTTTCTTACAAATTCAAACATTTTAGATTGTTAAAATTTCATATTTCTTTTTTTAAATAACTCATGTAATATATGGATCTCACACCTAATATAATTATATACACGCAAGCATTAGAGAAACCTACGAGTGAAATCTCATTTGGTTCATATCCTCTAACAAAAATTCTCTATAAACACCATAATCTTATGTGTGTTATTCCATCCTAAGTAATTTTTACCTATTGATGGGAGGGGGGAAAGAGAAAATAGAAAGGTGGGGAGGATAGAAAGTAAATGGTTGAGTTCTTATTTCAAATTTTGTAACAATTTGCATATATGGTACTTGTAGTTTATATCTTTTATAGACTTAATTTATGAGTAAAACAGTCATTACCTAATACCTGTTGATGGTAAGGCCCAGAAAAACAACATTAATAGATTTTAAAACCATGAAAACTATCTGTATAAATTTTTTAAAACTTGAACCAAAGATAAGTGCCAACCACAGGGACTGAAACTGTAATTTACTCAAATTTCAATCGATGAAAGTAGCCATCAGCCCATGCCAATTTACTCATGTAATTTCCTTTTCTACAAAAATATCTTATAACTTTAAAATCGGAAAAACAAAATTAATCATTCGACCATTTTATCTTTAATTTAAACATCCCATGCCAATTTTATTAGTATTAAAATGAAAACTGTGGCAACCGGTGGGAAATACTTTTCTTAAAATGTGAAAGGAGGAAGTGTGTCGGAGAACATCTGCGGATATCGGTCACTGAGTTTTCTCTCTCCTTCCCACCATAACTCGGAGCTAAATCGAGAGAAAACTCAAACCAAAAGCAAACTTCATGGGTCAGGAATCCTTCATCTACAGCTTCGTAGCTCGAGGAACAATGGTTCTGGCCGAGTACACCGAGTTCACCGGCAACTTCCCCGCAATCGCAACTCAGTGCCTTCAAAAACTACCTTCTACTAATAACAAATTCACGTACAATTGTGATCACCATACCTTCAATTTCTTAGTCCAAGATGGTTACGGTAAGTTCTTCTATTTCCTTCTTCGTTTTTTCAGCTGGATCTGACAGTTGCTTTGTATTTCGTCCGAGATCTTACTCTTTTTTACGTACATGTTAATCGATTGATTGACTGACGGATTTGGGAAAGAAATAGAGAAATTGCTTTGCGAGGTTCAGGGTTTTGTTAAAAGGGGAAAATTCCGATTGTTTTGATTGGCTTACAATGGATGGTTTAGATTGTTCTTGGATGATTAAATATGTTTTGGTAGGGTTCCGCTGTTCTCCTTTGCTTTGAATGTAAATTTGATAAGATTGAAAGACGAAAGTTCCATTAAAAAGTAGGGTATGTTGTGGCTGAAAAAGGGTCTCTTTAGATTCTGATATGGTTTTTGGGGATTAGGGTTTATAACTTTATTCATCCTTCTAACACTAAACAACATCATATATTCAAGAACATCAAATTCATACATTTCCCCTTTTTAACTCCTTTTTTAATATCCTGAACATTTACAAATTTGTATAACAACATGATCATTAAAATATCGAGTCACGAAATTGTACAACTCATAATTACTCTATTTGAAATTTCAGCTTATTGTGTTGTTGCAAAAGAATCAGTTGGCAAACAAATATCAATTGCATTTCTTGAACGTGTGAGAGTCGACTTCAAGAAAAGATATGGTGGTGGTAAAGCCGATACAGCAGTTGCCAAAAGTCTCAACAAGGAATTCGGGTACTTATAAAAACATGTTTTTATATATTTTTATGTATATTTCAAACATGTCTTGTTATATTAAATTGACACAACACGATTTGTGAATGCAGCCCTATAATGAAAGAACACATGCAATACATAATCGAACATGCAGACGAGATTGAGAAACTTATAAAAGTGAAAGCACAAGTTTCAGAAGTTAAAAGTATAATGTTGGAGAACATAGACAAGGTTTGTATGTTTTTATTTTTATATTTATTTTGGTAGTTTATTAGTTTTTGATATTGAAATTAACATTCTTGATCTTACATTTCAGGCTATTGATAGAGGACAAAACCTTACAACTTTAAACGACAAGGCTGAAAATCTGCGTGATTCGGTATGTGCATTTTCCTATTTGGGTAAATCATTTTTTATTTTTTTTTGTGTATGTGTAACATATTTTACTAATTATTTTATTTTATTTTATTGTATTCTTTTTCAGGCACAAGAGTTTAAGAAAGCAGGAACGAAAATAAGAAGGAAGATGTGGTACCAAAACATGAAAATAAAACTAGTTGTTCTTGGGATTCTTCTGTTACTTGTTCTTGTTATTTGGCTTTCAATTTGCCATGGTTTTGATTGCACCAACTAAGGTTATAATGTAAAGTTGTGTTGTTATATGGTTTGAGAGAAAAGAGTGAAATTAATTTCCCTTTTTTTTTTCCTCTCTTTTAATTACTTGTATTTTCTACTTAATTTGTTGTAAAATAACAAAGACAAGTAACTTGATTTATATTATATTTTCAACATGTTGTAGTCATTTCTCTTATTAATACAATACTCTTACAATCATCATATGTTCATTCAATGTGACATCTTATTATCTTAATAAATCAATTTTCAAATAATCTTACAACAATGACTTAATCGATTCAGCACCATGGCCATTTAGCATCTGTCCATTGAAACCAACGATCGATTTTGTTCACATCAGAATCAAAAAAGTTGGATTCGATACTCTTTTCAATTTTTCCACTTTCATTTCTTTGTGTTCCAAAAGCTTGACAACATGCAAAACTTCTATCGCGTGTCAATGCATCTTCTTTATACGATGAATTTCCATACCTTGGGTGCATGATAAACACCACATTCTTCCACCATAGCTTCAAAGCCTGCATCATGTAATTGAATTTTGAGGTGCCTCATACATTCTAATGTATTTGAATATTGAATTTTGACACTTACATGCCAATAGATCCATAATGCAACTTTGTGTGGCATTAACCAGAAGAAAACTGCATGATCAACAGATGATGAAGATACCCTATTTGCCCTCAAGGAAGCTGTGAAATAGTCGCCATGTTTAGGATGTTTAACGGAAATATTCACCACAAGATTATCCCCAGGTGTACTTGTTCTTATACTCCAGTTCCCAAGCATATCCTGTAATCAACATGAAATCAAAACAATAACAGAAATAATCAGTTTATGCATACATATCTATGTCTACATGTTTGTTTGCAAGTGTGTTTAAGTCGATTGAATACCATGAAAGGGCTAACATGAAGGGGTTTAGCGACTACATCAGAACTTGGGTTGAAAAGGAACTGTACTCTTTCTCCCCATGGCGTATTGGTGACCTAATGCAGGAAAATGGAATGATGTTAAGGTAAATGATATTACAAAATAGAGAACGAAAGAAATGGATTACAGACCTCAGCTATGCACTTGATTAAGGTTGTGTTTGAGCCTTCTTTGTTGTAGCAATAGTACAAACTTAAGGGGTTTTGTTCGTATCCGACGCTAGGAGGAATTGTCAAGAGGAAACTGAGCGAAAGGTGGAAAAGTCAATCAAGAGATCTCAATTTCCAAACATAATTGATCTCGATCGTATAATCCATGGACAATGTAACTACTTAAGAATTCAATGTACTGGAATTGGAATTGATGAATCGAAATTATGCAGAACAATTAAAACTCACAGAAATTAGCAAGGCTTAAATAAAATTAGGGACTTACACAGGACCAGTGGTTTGAGCAATATCACGAGCTTGTTGAGGCGAGAGGTGGTGAGGTGGAGTGTGAGGTGTGTGATCGAGGTCAATAAAAGCGTAACGGACGGAGTACTTGAAGGAATGGTGAACGGGACGACGGCGTTCGTGCCAGACGGTGCCATCGTAGAGGGAGATCGAAGTGGTTGCGTCGGTGGTCGTTGAGCGAGGGAAGAGACGGTGGAGGAGGAGGCGGAAGGGGAGGAGGAGGGAGAGAGTGAAGGAGATAAGAGTGGTGGAGATGATTGAGCAGAGAAGATAAAGCAACTCCATTTAGACCGTTTGTTGATTGGCGTCATGTTATATGCGGTTTTCGATTTAACCGCGTGTTTTATTTTTACTTTTTATTGTTTAAAGTGGAAATTTTCGGGGAAAATAACTCTTGAAGGTAATTAACTTTTGCGTTTGTATTCATTTGATCGTTATTTTTTTGTATCCAATATACCATTGAACTTGTTGTTTGTGTTCACCATAACCCTTTTGACCGGCTTTTGACCTGTGATAGCCGACCAAAGGGTTATGGTGAACACAAACAACAAGTTCGATGGTATATTAAGTACAAAAAAAGGAAATGGACCAAATGAGAACAAACTCAACAGTTGGTTACCTTTCTGAGTTATTTTCTCCAAAAAGTTAAATGAAATTAAAGTTGCAAAATTATCAAATATTGCACCCTTCTTTGGCTATGACGTATATGAAGAGTATTTCAGAGGGGTAACTTCGTTAAAACTTGGTCTATGTTATGCTTACTGTGGTTAGCTATCAACACCTCTTTTCAAAAGGATATGATTGTGTATGAGAGGTATATTTATTAGCATAAACGTTTACCTCAAGGTATATTATGGTGATGTGTCTGCAAAAGAAGCATGATATTGTACATATTGATGTTGTATCTCATCCCATGAATTCGATCTTAAAGCTAAGTAAACTCAAAAATCACAACACTTGTGATTCCACTCGTTTATAGTTTTGTCTAGAATCCATGATACAATAAATCATTCGATTTGAAATGTAAATGTAGTCATGAAATGTGCCTACTTGGTCAAGATTCCCCTAATAAATATTCAAGTGCATTACAAAGTTATACATGTCTGAATAGTATTTTTCGTGGGTTATGTTTTGAAGAGAAGAAAGAATGAATCTCATAAAGTCATTAATATCAGTGGGAGATGACGTGTGATTTGCTGTAAATGAGTAAAGGGAAAATAACTCAGGAGGGTAACCAACTTTTGCGTTTGTACTCATTTGGTCTCTTTTTTTTTTTTTTTTTTTTTTGTATTCAATATACCATCGAACTTGTTGTTTGTGTTCACCATAACCCCTTGACCGACTATCACAAGTCAAAAGTCGGTCAAAAGGGTTATGGTGAACACAAACAACAAGTTCGATGGTATATTAAATACAAAAAAAAAAAAAAAAGGGACCAAATGAGTACAAACGCAAAAGTTAATTACCCTCAAGAGTCATTTTCCCAAATTTTGGTGATGATAATTGAAATTTTTGTTTGAAAATTATTGGGTTAATGACTTAAATGGTTAATGGATAACTAATTTGTTTTTAATTTTTAATTTTGTCAATAGTATTTCTTTTTTCTTTCGGGTATATTTAAGTTATAACTCGTAGAAACTATGATTCATAAATTAAAATAATATATATCAGATACAAATATAAACATATAGTAATAATGATTAAGTGCAAAGAAGTCAATTTAATTACAGAAAATTTATGTTAATGCAATTATATATATATATATATATATATATATATATATATATATATATATATATAGAGAGAGAGAGAGAGAGAGAGAGAAAGATAGATTCAAATGTTTTTGATAAGTATTGTATGCATTCACCAATCACAATTTAGCAAATTATTAAATGATTAATTAAATATGTAAGGGTAATTATGTAATCTGTCATATTAATTTTTTATTTAGTCTGATTGTTATCCCTTTAGTTAGGAAATGATTATGACTGATTGTGATTATCATTAATTTAATCCTTTATATAGTCATTTGAAACGTTCTCCACTTACAAATCACAAAAATCGATTCCAGGTAATTATTTTGCTCTCTTATTGTATTGCTCAGGTTTTGTTCTTTGATTTTTTAAATATACTATATTCTTTTTATTCTAAAAGAATTAAAATTTATTTCATTAACAACACTATAATATACCCAAAAGTTGCCATTCAAACAGAATGTCGACAAAATGACAGAATACGCAAAAATTTCATATAATTGTAATTCTAATAGAATATTACAAATTAGAATTCTATCAGAATATTATAAATTTCAGCTTAATATAAATAAGCCACTATACATGTCACACTCATATACTTCGTTCCATTCTACAACAAATTCTACAAGTATATCCATGTCTAGGAATTTGATTCTAACATAATGTAAAATCATATACAAAAGCTCATTCTAACAGAATACAAAATCATTATACCCTGCTACTAAACCCCTTATCTACATAAAAAAAAAGAATAAAACTCACATGTATATTTGAACTGCAAAATGACGTTTATTGAAGATCATTTTGTAAACAAATGTTGGTTTTCTCAAATAATAAACCTAAAAACAGTAACATATTGAAAAACCATAAAATATGATAAGTAGAACATGCGACATACCAGTCTAGCCAAAACCTACAACTGACTGCATTGAGCTGGAATGAATGACAACGTCTCCTTCTAGAGATCATGAACCACCATCATATGTTGCTGTTGAATATTTCCAAATATCAAAATTCCACTTGAACCCCCCCATCGCCAAACACGCCATTTAAGCATTTGTATCTCCGATCATGTAATTCTCCCCTGGCAAATCCAAACTCGCACCTTGATTGAACCCACTACCTTCGTTATCTTCTCCACAACCAAACCCGACCGACGACACGAACACCTTATCAAACATAAACATCTTTGTTGCTAAAATATGACATCGAAAAATATGCTAGCAGAATGACATTGAACTCAATAAATAACTATCATGTCAGATTTTTTTTTGGGATCAATTCAAAATCTAATAACCACTAACTATTCTTAAGAAATTACTCAAAATTGACACCTTCTTCGCAATGAAATCATCAGCGTCAGTTTCAAGATTCAAGACCGTCTCTACTGTGTTCTTGAACTTCGACTTAAATGAATTCGATCTTGTACTCCTCATTCTTTAAGAATACCGTTCACAGAAACCCCTAAATGCCGATTCCGTCTTCTAGGGTTTAATGCTGATATTTATATCAAAAGTATTCACGGAATCTTCTGTTTTTGACGAATATCTACAAAAAATCAGAACACGTTTGAAGCTCCCAAATCACTGGGTTCTTGATTTGATATTATGTGAGATATTTGTGTTCACCGGTATATCATTGCCATACTTATCGATAGTTTCCTATTAAAATGAAGAAGCAATGTACAATAATACCCTTCCGTGCCCAGTCAATTAATGAAACCCTATTAAATTGTTTTTTATTCTATTTAATTTTAAAAGAAAATCACTTTCTAAAATTATCAAAAATGATTGGTCTAGAATCCATTAGACAACCACACAATACTTAACAAAAACAAAACAACCTAACCCTCTATATATATATATATATATATATATATATATATATATATATATATATATATATATATATATATATATATATATATATATATATATATATATATATATATATATATATACTAGGTGTTAAACCCATGTATTACATGAGTTCATTTAAAAGAAATTTTAAGTGTGAAATTGTAAACATTTAAAAGTTTGAACTTATAAGAAAAAATTAGAAAAATATTGAATTATTAAAATTAATGTGTTTTTTCTTTTTAAAATTTAAACAAATAATTTAGATAAATAAACAAAGTAAAACTAATGAAGTTTTAATTTAGAAATCTAAACATTAAAAAGAAAGTTAATTAATGAAATTGATATGCATTTATTATTACATTTATTATAATTATTACATTTAAATATTATGTGGAATTTGATAAAATGAAGAAAAAAAAACACACAAAATGACATGTGGAATTTTTTTTTTATTGAAAATAACCACAAAATGACATGTGGTCAAATCAATGAGAATGTGATATTTTGCAAAAATATTTTCATTTATTAGAGTATATATATATATATATATATATATATATATATATATATATATATATATATATAGAGAGAGAGAGAGAGAGAGAGAGAGAGATAGAGAGAGAGCTTGGTTCAAAAGTTTCTAGCAAATAGTGTGTGCCTAAATGCACAAATGAGAATAAAACCGCAAATATATTTACTAGTTTATTGTTGACTTTTTGTCATTCTGACAGAATAAAATCGGTTATTATTAAAAGTAATATTAAAATTTAATTAGAGTTAATTTGAAAAAATCAGATTTTTTAAAAATAAGGGAACTAATGATCCCTTAAAATCCGAAAATTTTCTTTTTTAAAATAGGCTAATTGATCAAAATACCATTTTGCTGAAATTTATATGATTATATGATACATGCTATCCTATTGTAATATCATAGACTCTCATATCATGATTGTTGATTCTATTCATCCGGTGGTCCAGATTTGTGCATTCTGGTACATATTAGTTATTAGAAACAATATAATCTAACCATATATATATATATATATATATATATATATATATATATATATATATATATATATATATATATATAGGGTTAAGTTCAAATGAGAACACCATTTAATGTGAGAACGCGAGAACACTACTTTATGTTACTATTATACTATCTATTTTGTATATACAACGATATGACATTATTCATCAACAAATATACGAATAATCACACATTAAAATTCACATTAAAATTTTGTATGTACAAATTTATGACATTATTCATCACCGAATATATGAACAATCACATATTTAACATTCACATTAAAATTTATTAATTTACTACACATATATATAAATTTTATAGTAGAATAGCAATATAAAATTGTATATATTCATATTATAATTACTACAATACTATACATATTAAACTAGGTTATAACCCGTGTACTACACGGTAGACAATATAAAATAACATAGTGACTAAAAAATGTAATAATAAATCATAAATTTGCAAACAATTGTTTTTATATAACCTTATCGTCATTTAAATGTAACACCCCTAGATATCTTAATAGTTTAAGTTGTAAAGCGTCACAACACAAATAAGGATATAACATCTAGTAGACACCCCATAAATCTTAATAGTTGAAGTTGTAACCAACAACATTACAACTCATATGAAATAA